TACAAATACATCACAAAGACAAACTTACAGAAACGCAAAATCACACACATACCAAAAAAAATCACAGAGAGACTTAAAAATCAAATCTGACATGCTTCTTATTTATTCAAACTTTCCAAGTATTGTAAGCTACTAATCTTTTTCACTTAACATGTGGACAAGTCTATGAATGAAGTAAAATGCTAAGTATCTAACTGAATTGATATTTTTATTAAGTGGATAATGCATTTTTTTTGGATAATGCATTTTTATGTATTAGGCAAACCTCTTTGAGTCAGGGCTTTCAGTTACTTGAGGTCAAAGTCATCTTAATTATATGTTTCTTTTTCTCAATGAATTTCATTTTGTTGTATATGTTTAAGGCTTACAACATGACCTTATAGCATACAGCAGGTAGCTCAAAGGTCACCATAGAAAAGTTAGTAATCACCATAATAAAGTTAGTCCATCATCTCAATTTCTCTCTCTTTCTCTCTCTGTCTGTCTCTTTGTCTCTCTCTCTCACTCTATGTGTGTGTGTGCATTGTGTGTGTATGTGTGTGTGTGTGTGTGTGTGCATGTGTATGTATCAAGAACAACTACAACCTGTTCATTTAGGGTAACTCTCAAGTACCCAAACAAATTTATTACCATCAGTGCTTGTGCAACAGTACATCAGACCTCTAGACTAGTCCATCCTACATATCCACTAGTCTCCATCCTCTGACCTACATCTTCCTATTTTTTCTCAACCCTTCTTTATAACCATCATTTTGTTTTCTATCTCTGTATATTCAGATTTGAATTCCACATATAAGTAAGACCATGCAGCATCCTTCTTTCTGTGTCTGGCTTACTTCACTTAGCATAATGTCCTCAAGGCTCATCCATCCTATGGCAAATGTGTTTATGCATACATGTATGTATATATAATATATTTACATGCACCAAAGTTTTTATCAATTCATTTACCAATATATACTGAGATTTAGTCTTACAGTATGGATTAACCTCCCAAGGATTTGCCTTAGCAATCATAATGCTGGCCAGACTTTATACAGCTTCTCAGTAAGTCTAGACACATAGAATACCTCAATGGATTAATCTTCAGTTCTTTAAATGTTTTACTCAATAGGAAGTCAATTATGAAGATGCTAATTTTCAGCAACACACATGCTAATAATAAATACAAATGAAGTTACTTTTATCAAAAATTGATAATCTTTAGAAAAAAAGTTTTATTACCGAGTTTACATTCTTACAGATAACTGCTCATGAATGAAAAACAACTAATTTTAAGCAAGAGATTATTCTTTGAAGTTTGTTTTAACTGGCTACTTTTTAAATGGAGCAATGACATAAGATGACCCATCTATACATCAGTGTTTTTCCATATGTTCAGATACACACTTCAAAGGAAGAACAGTATTCAAGTTTATCACTGAAGACAAACTAGAACCATCTACAGACCACCTCTCTACATTACCTCATCATTCAAATAAGTACTTTTTTTCTTTCTGTAATAAGCCATTTTTTATGGTTTTCATGTGTTTTAACATGAAACATGTAGGCAACTATAAAAACAAACTGGAATTCTACCTTTGTCTCCTGAGGTACTCCTTGGGAGACAAAGGTAGAAAGATCCAGAATTTGACTCTAACCTGTGTTATTGGATAAAACTCTGCCTCAAAAACAAAACAAAGTGATAGCTCAGGAAAATTTTCTACAACAATAAGAAAATAATTTAAAAAATTATTTTTAGTTTTCATCAACATTTACCATCAAATATGTAAAGTAGAACTATTTGAAAACTCACTCAAAACCTCAAAATACTATGAAAAAAGAAAAAAAATTTAAAAGGAGAATGCAAACAGAATGCTTCGTTTATTTAAAAGACTCATAAGCAGTGACCATAGATCTCTTTCATCTACTGCCTGGCTTGACACCCTGAGGAAGATACCGAATCACAGCTCTGGCTTTCCCTTTAAGAAGCAGCAGTCATCACACTTCTGTCTTCCAGTTAGAGTGGAAGTTTCCAAACAAATGGAAAGAGAAGATTGTTGAACATGGTGCCGTGCAAATGTCTGTCATCAAAGTGCGAGGTAATTAAGCTATCTCTCAGATTTCCCTGTAGATATTCTAGTTAATACCAGAGCATCCCTTTAATTTGTTATGGCTACCAAGGACAACATGATTCTTACAGTACTGTTTGTTATTTTATTGCTTGACAACAAATTGTACTTGTTATTTTTTTGCCTCGGAATAAAAATACATAATTGATTATCTATGATCAATCTGTTGGAAAATTGGTTACAGGAAAATGACGGACTATTAGATCACAGTGGAAGCCTTATTGGTTAATCACGTTTATATTTTTCCTAGCAAACTCTCCTCTCCATTAACCTTTCCTTCTTTGGCAAGGGAAGCCCGTTACTGGATTTCTGCTGTGTCCCTTGAAATCTAAGGGACACTGACCAGGGTGACCCCACCTTAGCTCTTGGGATGAGGTCTAACTGAGAGACATCAATCAAAATGTCAGCATCCCCTTGGCAGATTGATTCAACCACTGAGGATGAAGCTAATGAAGACCAGACAGACTCCTTAGCTAACTGGCTTACTCAGTCTGGAGGGACTTTTGTTCAACAATGATGAGAGATCCTCTCCCGTGTCTTTGATTTCTGTCTATTTCTATTTCATGGAAGGGGAGGGCAGGAAGCACGCTCTCTGTTACGTATGCTCATCTCATGGAAGACACTAATTTGAGGGTGTGATGGCATTTCTGAAAGACCCTGATCCCATGCTTGGAGCCTCCTTACTATTGCTTACCTTTTTAAAATAAGATAGTTTCTTTATGGTTGACGTCAGTTTTATGAGGGAGATGACATAGATTATAGCAGAAAATACTCTAACTTGTTTAGAAAGCCTGTAACAGGGAATCCAGATACTTCATATGGACAAATAAATTTTTTTAAGTTGGTTTTTTTTAAGTTGGTTTAGCCTGTTAGTGTATCAAGTTATGCCTTAGATATTCACCTTTGAAATCAAAGGCAAATTGCATAAAAATGTAAAAAGAGACATTTCCACTCTTTGGAAGTTATAAACACTGTAACTTTAATCTACTGGGGAAGTACAGCCTGTGTTTTATCTTCAATTTTCTACTATATATTCAATGAGTCTTTTATTGGTGGATCATCTACAGCCTCAAAAGTACACCTCTGATTCTTCATCCCCCTAAAGCCACTGGCCCATTAACTGAGTCCCATTTCAGCAAAATTTCCCAAAACAGTTGTCTGCTAATTCTGACAAGTTTTCAGTCCTGTTATTCTGAGGTGACTCACTAGGAGATGGCCTCCATCTTGACAAATCCAGTGATTACATCTGTGCAAACTTCCTCCTTTCTTGAAAGTTTGCTCTCTAGGTTGCCTTGATGCTACAAACTTTTGTTGGTCTTTCCAGTTCACTGATCATTGATCATAATTGTGTGCTTCCTCTTTCTCTCCTCAATCTCAAAATAAAAGCCTATCCACACTCCTCCATCACTGCTCCACCATGGGCCCACTTCGTTCCTCCATCTCCACTCTCCTGACAGGATCTTTTCCAGCCCCTTTTCCTAACTATCATATATGTCCCCATAATTTCCAGTTCCCTGTCTCTGACCCATGCTTTCCAGTGAGCTTAAGGCTATCTGAGATATCAACTGGATTCCTTGAGGCATCCAATATTTAAAATGGCCACTTGAGCCCATGATCCGTTTCCCCCAAATCCCATCATAGGCTTCCCTATCTGAGAAAATGACACCAGAATATAACTGTTAGTTTGACTTTTCTACATACTTTGGGCACTCCCCTCAAAAATACATCCTTAATTCAGTGGCTCTTAGTTCATTCAGCCCCTGGAAGAGAATCTAGCTGGTGGCTAGTGTGCATTCACTAAATATTAAAGAATGAAATCGCAGTTCACACCTTTGTTGTTCTACCTTGGTTTATCTACGAACTGCCTCTGGTTTCTCTAATACACCCTCAGTAACAAACTGCATCAAGAACGAGGCTTCAATCTACAGTCACCTGAGAGTTCTCTCCTATGTGCCTTCTTTTCCTGTCCTCTCTCACACACCTGTCCTACGCCACACAGAACCACTTCCCAGTCACACGCCATATTCCACCTTTCACACCTCCTTGACATTTGGCTTTTCTATTTTCCATGAATAACAGTCAATTCATGCTTCAAAACCAGTCACATATTTCCTCTTTATCAAATTAGAGTCAGTAACTCCACTAAATCCAGCATAGCTTTATAATTTTTCCAACTGTAGTAGAGTTATTTGCTTATAATCTTGTTCTTTCATTAGAATCATTAAACACCTAATTTCTTATTCACCTATAGGCCAGAATTTGGTACTAGGTCTACTCCACAAATGCTTGCTATACTGAATTGAATGAATGCTCCTATGCTGCATAAAAATAAAATATATATTAGCAACACTATTTCCCCAAATGAAAAAGTTTAAGTTAAAACGGTATCTGCTCTATATAATAAAAATAATACTGTCAACATCACTGTGTGCTAAGTAGACTGTAAGTTTTATATGCATGCTCTTCCTTTAAAAATTATAGAAAATAGAAGTCTGGAAGTATTAGTAACTTACCTAAAGATACCAAACTATCAAGATGAATATTTAGAAATCAAACACAATATCCTTAGAGGTCCAAGGCCTGTTTGAGTTCCATGTATTAGACATGATTACCAGGACCAATCTCACCTAGAATCATGTGATCTATACCAGCAACTTCTACCTGGGTTCTGAACTGATGGTAAAGGATGGAGGATGAGTCACCTTGGGCCCAGCCACACCCCAGTCTCAGCTGTTTCTTCCCATAGGCCTTTGTCCTCCTCCCTGAGCAGATGAGAGTGCATTCCGTATCTTTTCAACTAAAAGTGCCCTGATGAGGAGTCCCCAAAGGCCACATTCCTTCAGAAACCAACATGCCCAGTCTTGAAAATGATCCAAGTGCACTTCCTACCTTTGGCATGCAGATTACCAAATGACCCGTTGTCTGAGACCTTTTAGCAGAACTTCTGTCAGGTTGGACTTCTGCAGAAAGGATGAGCTGAAATGGCTGGAAATAGAGAGGAACAGAGAGCAGGACATGTTACATGAAAGCCTGCTGCAAGAGGTGTTCTCATTGCAAACTCATGATGCACTGTTCAATTAAGACACGTGCTAATGCATATTACAAATATGCTATAGAAGCTGTGTTGGTATGCATGGACTGTGTTTCCTAGCTCAAAGATTAATCTAAAGAGTAGTCACCGGCCGCAACCAGTCAAAGCCTCAGGAGTCCACTTGGGATGGAAAATTAATTTATAGATAAAACATCAAAATATTTCCATTTTAATGTCTCTAGGCTAGCCGTTATGAGTGCTGAGAATCAGCAGAAAAGAAATGCTATTTCAAAATGATAAAATTTTAGTTTTGTGGATGGAATCACTGACAACTTAGAATGGGCTTTCCATTTAACTTTATGGTCATGTTAGCAGCTTTTAAAAAATACAACACAGCTGGGCGTGGTGGCGCACGCCTTTAATCCCAGCACTCAGGAGGCAGAGGCAGGTGGATCTCTGTGAGTTCAAGGCCAGCCTGGTCTACATAGTGAGTTTCAGGAGAGCTGGGGCTACAGGGAGACCCTGTCTCAAAAAGACCAAAAAAAAAAAAAAAAGTACAGCACAATGGGGTGGAGAGATGTTTAGCAGTTAAGAGCACTGGTTGCTCTTGCAGAGGACCAGGGTTCAATTCCCTTCACCCACATGGTGGCTAACGACCATCCATAACTCCAGTTCCAGAGGATCCAATGCCCTCTTCTGCTCTCTATGGACATTCCATGACATGGGTGCATTTACATACATACAAACAATACACTCACACATATATATGTACAACACAACAGGCCCAGGTTTAAGCATCCATGTTCCTGAGATACACAGTGGTAACAGCAGTTCCACCATGGAGCAGTCCCGTGGGGGCTATGAAACCATGGGACTAGCAAAGAGGGCTCTGATTGAGTTCTACTTTTTCTGTCTTCCTAATATTTTAAAAATAGAAACCATACAGCTTAGTTCCAGGCTTGCCTTTTAAAACTGTCATACTCCACCATTATACTTACCTTTCCTTTGACCATGACTCGCACATAAGTTGGCTGCACATCAACCTCAATTAAAGAGGTATCCATGTACCTTCAAAATTAAGCATACCAAATCTTGTAATTGTCAAAAAAAAAAGTTTGAAGAAATAGAAATTCAAAAGCATACTTATGGGACCATTTTAAATGGAGAAAATTTTAAATGTTCACATTAAACCAGTCCTAAAATATTAGCCTTAAATTATTCCCAGTTCAGTGGAAATTCAGTATATCAGCAATTTCATTTTTAGACATACAAGTACATTTGGCATTGATTGCCCCTAGCCCAAAAATATCTGAGGTCTGAAATGCCAGAGCTTTGAAAAAAATGGCCTGTCATACTCATCCATGAATATTTTATTTTATGCCCCTAGAACTTCAACAGCTGGGAATACTGAACCCACCGCTCTGGCCAACAACCACCAGCTCTGCTCCACACTGCTCTCCCTGCCCTGCAGCTGTTTTGCAGCGGCACTGGGCCAGTGCTCCTGAGGAACAGCTTGGTTTCCCTTCGCAGGCACAGGCTGCTGAACAAGCAAAGCCTTCCACGGATGGCAGCCACCCAAAGCCAGGTGGCCATTATTCTCAACAAATGACCGAATGGAAGGTTTAGATCTCACGTCACTCATTAAAATAAGGTTAACAAAATGATTACTTGTATGTATTTTAAAACCAATTTGTGAACACAAGGAAATGGGGCAATGGCTCAAACATCACAAATATGAAAACAGGAAGGCTCATGTGGGTGTGGGAAGGTAGAGGATTCAGGTCCAAGCTTTGAAGCCATACAGATTTGTGAGGAATTCACTCCACTGATTCCTACTTCACATATATTCCCTAACCCCTCTCATCCTCAGTTTTCTCAAATGCTTAGTGAGGCTGCTACCGGTGTCCACCTTCTAAAACTGTTCTGAGGACATACAAGCAGCATCTATTATACAGTTAGTGTTCAAGAACCATGTTATTAGATTTAAAAGTTATAATAAAAAAGAGATAAGGTTCTTCAAGATAATGTGTAATAGTTTCCAGTTTTTGCACATTCTTTCCCATGCGCATGGACTCATGACATGTTGATTGGCTCCTGCCTGCAAGGCTTTTTTCTGTCTGAAACAGTTTTTTTTTTTTTTTGGTTCCTTGTAGAGCAAATTACTTATCATCCAGTTTCAATATTCAGTCAACAACTTCGGTTGGCCACCCCACATTACCAGCCACCAAGCCCACGCGGCTGCTCTGTATCGCCAAACACCTTCTCTTTCCTTCAGAGCAGGCTTCTCCCTCTGTGACTACTCACTAGATGCCTGGCTGCTTAATGCCTGTGACCCTGTCTTTGGAGGGGGGAGGTGTAAGGAACAGGAGTATGGCTGTATCTGGAGTATGCCAGTGACAATTTCCTCATACCTAGAACAAAGGAGGTATTCTATAATTCTTTGTTGAGTAAAGACATGAAGCATATTTTCATGAAGGGGTCGAACTTCATATATGTTCTCATGTGCCAATAATGTTAGCAAGGAATTTAATGCAATTCCAGAAATCAGATCTAAAATGGGAAGGATTTAAAAGGACAAAATGGAATACTGACCTGGAAAACAACAGAAATGAAGGTGGAGGGCTGCACAAACAGGACATATCAAAGCAGTGGGGGGGAAGATGGAACTTCTGTAAAAGGCAGGTGGGCAGAGAATAGACATAGGTAGTGGAAAGGAGAGTCTTGTGTGAAAAGGAGGGGACCACTCATCATAGCCAAAGCAAAACAACACAAATGTCCACCAGTTGAAATACCAACAATATGCATTATGTCCACACAATAGAATATCATGTATGTACAAAAAAGGAAGGGAACCTCAACACACAGCACATACGCCTTAGCCATAAAGACATTATGATAAGTGAAAGAAGTCTGACACAGAGGCCATATAGTGTATGATTCCATCTGTATAAATTATCTGGAATATACAAATTTAAGGAAAACAACTTCCGTTAGTGGTTACCATGGGAGGAAGAAATGAAGAGTGCTTAATGGATACAGGGTTGAGGTGAAGACGTTTTCCTGGAACTAGACAGTACTAATGGTCAGACAACATTGTGAATTTACTAAATGCTATTGAATTATATATTTTAAAATGGCTCAAGTGGTAAATACTAAGCTATGTGTATTTTACCACAATTACAAAAGTGAAGTTGGAAGAGGACCTGAGGGTTTATGTTCTGGCTCCTCCAATTATTGTTTATTTTGACAAAGTTCACTCTGGAAATATACCTTTTCTTGGGTATTTATAGAATAATAGTCTCACTTCCCACAGTTACTACAGAACCAAATGAAATACAGTCATTTAATACACAAAGACCTTTCTTCTAACATGCATGTAAATGTTTACTGACTGCATGATTGCCATCCACTCACTCATTCATTCCCTCCAGCATTTGTGGACCTCCTAATAGGTCCTGGGTACTGCTTTAAGGTTCTGGAGCTACAGAGACTAAATAAACTTTCTGTCTTGGCCACAATTTTTTAAAAACACAAGTAATTTTATATGCTGTCAGAAACCAATCAAAAAGCAAGGAGAAGTGTAGGGGAATTCTAGGGCAGGTGGGAAAGTGGGGCAGAGTCTCATAAGATGACATCTCATCATGCTGATGGGCAAGGACACTGATGATGATGATGACAGAGCCACAGGGAAGCAGGTACAAGTGGATCCCACAATGGTTGTACAGTGTCAAGTAACAAATCAGAAAAATAACCTGGGGCTCTTCTGATTCCTGTTACAGGGAGGGTGGGAGATGATACAGGCTGAGAGTTCAGTGTCAAAGCCAAGACCTTCAAAAGAGAAGCATAAGAGTCTTTTGAGGCCCTGAGGGACAACAAACAGGTCACCTTGCCACTGTGGCCAGCCTGTCCACTAGAACAAAGTGCAAGTGAGAACCAGTCATAAGGTGGGAGAACTCGGAGCAGAGTGTCTCATGTGATCAAGGGATCGAAGATGGAATGAGAAGGGGAGGGCTGGCCAGAGGTTTGCTGTCATGCCAAAGCATTTTGAAAAAACAGAGAAGGGCTGTCAGAGTAAAGTGACAGTTGTTAAGAGCAGAGGAGCTCTTGAAGATGAGCATGGGAGAACAGGGCAGTGCTGAGAATCATTTCAACTCTGCAGGATTCCGGCGTTCATGGTTATGGGCAGTGGGGGCCATTGCTTTCCCCTTTCATCTAAAAATAAGTGAGCTCTCTAGCTCTAAAAAATGGCAAACCAACTTCTATTTCCACATGTTTCAGAACCCAAAAACTGCTAACTAGAAAGAGAACAGATAGAGAGGATATGAGATAAATTCACAATAAAATGGCTTTACCTATAGACAGCCAGGTCCAGGATGAGCTGGTTATGTTTCTCATCATCCTTCAAAGAGAAGTCGAGCCTAAAAGGAATACATTTGTGGGGCGGGGATGATTTTAAAACATTGTACAAATAACCCCATCATGTAATCAAAAGCAGGCTTGAAAATAATTATGTAAAATGTTCAATGACAAACTTATTTTGGTCATTAGACAATCAAATACCTATGCTAATTTAAAACTTTAAAGAGAAAAAAACAGTAATATATTCAAAGATTTTTGCTTCTATTCAACTATTCAAAATAAAAATTGTGTACTGAGAAAAAAAATAAAAAAAAAACTTTAAAGAGATCCAGGCAGCCTATCAATAAATTGCTCTTGCTGACTTTGTTGACATGTGAGCTTTATAAGGTAAATTACATGCAAAGCATCGGCTTTGGTGCAGAGATGGAGACATCTGGTGGCTGAAGTTTTCATTTTCATTTCATTTGACTGCCAGAACCCAGCTAGAACATGGGTTTCTTATGGAGACGCCCATGCTGCATTTGCATGCCCTGTCCAACATCCCCTCCTTCTTTTCCTTTGCCACAGTTTTCCTCCCCCATCACTGTTGCCGGCCCTCTTGCCCTGGGAAAAGGCTGAGACATGGCCAGTGGTTGATGACTTCTGTTTCAGAAATGAAGAAACAGAGGTTCACAGAGGTGTGAATACTCAGAGAGAAGGCTCAGGAACCTGAATAGACAACATTCAAAGCCCTCAGCCTTTCAACTAAGTCCTCTGGCCAAATCCTAAGTATAACTTCTTTACTGTCAGCATATTTAGAATTACTTGATCAAATTTATTTTGAGCAACTCACTTATTATACGGCAACCTTTATAACCCAGTAACACTAAAGAATATATGCTAAATTATTTGGAAAATGCAAAGTTAGCTCAAGATTTGGCTGTCAGCATTAGAGCTGCTGTGATGGGGATGCTTGTTGCTCCCCACAATCTAGCCATACTGGGCTTATGCAAAGTCTCAAATGAGTTGTGCACTCATCTCCTGGAAGCCTTCTTATATGCTGTCCTCTCTTCCCTGATTGCTTATCGTTCAATTCTCCAGCCAGCCAACTTGAACTCTCTTCCTCTATTGATTAAAGCTAATGTTAGAGATTTTCTGTATCAAAGATTATTCATCTCTGCTATTTCCCTTTATCTACAGTAACAAAACACTAAGAGGCACATGGCCATGTAGAATAAAGGCGCCATTTTCCAGTCTCCCTTCCACCCAGATGAGGCATATGAAGGAGTATGTTGTACGGAGCTCACCAGAAATTTTCCTTAAGAAAAAATGTGCATGCCCTTTCCTGGCTGCCTTTATTCAGGTGAGAATAAAAGTTCATAGAAGGCAAACACACGAATCATAGAAACTACTTTTCAAGTTATTGCAATTGTCCAGGTAAGATGGAACATTGACTTGAAGGAGTTAATGAGTAGTTGACTTCTGGTGATATTGATATTGATAAAACCAGAAGGAAAAATCAGGGACAAATCCAAGGGGGTTTGGTCTTAGTCAATGGGTAGATGGTTGTTACTGAGATGGAGACAGTGGGAGGTAAGCACAGTAAGAATGGGAGATGGAAAGCAAGAGTTCTATGTTAGTTGTGCATATCTACAAACTGATGTCACCTAGCTAACTGAATACAGAAGCTTTGAACTCAGGGCAGACCCTGGATCTTCTTATGAGTAATGCAAAGATTTGGTGAGGTCCTCGAATGGTGAGCATGACAAGAGAGGACAGCTGGGCAGCATTCTCTGGAGCACTCAGAAGACAAAGCAAAGAATCCTGCCAAGCATATGAGGAAAAGGAAAAGCCTGCTTTTAACAGGGAAGGTAATCCTCAGTTAGATCTGAATCCCCAAGGTACAATAAGGCACAGACTAAGCTTTGAATGCTATGTAAATGCTGAGACCAAAGAAGTTTCTTGACATACAATATGCAGAAATGGTTTCAACAAGAAATGTGATCTGACAAACTGGAGACTCTGAGTATAGACAACTCCACTGAGAACTTTGGCTACTGCATGGAGCAAAGAATGAGAAATTGACAGGAATTTGAGGAAGGCAGTCTGTATTGTTCTTTAAGATCAAACATATTGAAATATGCCTGTATGCTAGTGCCATTGATCCAGCAGAGTAGAAGGAAGTGATTCAGAACAGGGGACAGTGAGAAGCCAAGCCTTTGATGGTAAGAGAAGCTGGTTCAGTGAGCCAGCAAGGGGCTAAGTTCTGACAGCAAATCCACCCATCACAGCACTAGAGTACCGCATACCATGTACGATGGAAAATGTCTGGTTGATTCTGTTTTCTCAATGAAGAAACAAGGTCCTTAGGTTAAGACTATGGAAACATAAGGTGGTACTGGAGATAAGGAAGAGGAAGAGGTGTCACTTCTGCCTACAAGTGACTAAGAGAATGCATACTAAGACAGTGCAGGGGACCACAGTCAACCTGAGACCTGTGGTCATGCACCTACAGACCAATCAACATGTAGTGATGGGGGCACATAAAAGCAAGCCCAGTGAGTATGCAGAATATGCAAGATTAAACAGTGATGGGATTTGTGAGGTGATGATGATGGAAGGCTGGAAAAGAGAGAGCTGAAGATCCACTAAGGATAAATTTCTGTGAGGAACATAAAACCAAAGCAGGAAGAGAACATGAAGGGGGGAATAAGTAAAGCTGTGAAATGGGTGGATCCCTGTGTGAATGGGGCCTGTGGCTGCTGGGGTGGAGGATGTCTGGGGATAACGGAGAGGTTGCTTAGTGAGATACTGGAAGGTTCAGGACATGGGATACAGATGGCAGCAAACCAGTACCATGTGGCTGAGTGGAAGAAAAAGATGTCAAAAGTGAGGTGGTCGAGGAGCTCAGTGGTCAGGGCTTTGGGTGCCTCACACACAAGTGTGATAAAGTCACCAGGAGAAATAAGGAAGAGGGAGATGCAGGTAGAAAAATGGAACTCTGGGTCCTAGAAATTTCCATGAACTGAGAAGGTGGGGTTTGGGGATTGATTGGTGTTAACTGACTAAGAAGACTTCAGGAACTGTACCTCAGTAGTGCTGGGGAATTTTAGGGAGAAGGGAGTCAGATAGTCTACAAGTTGCTGAAGGTTATATCTCAGGCCTGTGGAGAGGGAGACCAGGATCAGAGGTGGGGACAGGAGCTTTAGTCTCAGTCTGTCAACACTGATGTAAAACACCTGAGGGAACTGGTGGATGATGGTGATGTATAAGTTACAGAGGATGTAAGGTGCCTGGCAGTTGCAGAGAGGGAGAGAGGCAGAGAGGGAGGTAGTTGGGATAGGGCTATAGGAAAGAATAATTCTGAGGAGGACAGATGACCTGGAGCATGAAGGAGGGGTGTTCAAAGTATGGAGGGACTCCGCAGTAGTAGGGAGTGAACAGTAATTCTGCATACAATCTCCTTAAGGAAAGGTGGTTAGTACGGAAGGAAGAGCAGTGTTTAGTGAAGAACACACAGAGCTTACTGGGTGTCCCTTATTCCCTATTGAAGCTAAAGACAGACTGTCTTCCTGCTAGACTTTTAAGCTCAGCGAAGGCAGCTCCTGTTACAAGTGCTGCTATATCCTGTATCATGCCTACTGTCCGGCGCTACATTCCTGTCTGCTGGATGAGGAAAGTGTACGGCAGGTAGAAGGTTAAAGACTTGATAATGGAAATCATTAGAATGTGGACAGTATGGGCAAGGCAAAAACATTACCTGAATAGCTACGTGACTTTGAGCAAGTCCCCTCACCTCTCTGACCCAAGCTTTGGACTTGCAGAGATGATACTCTGTCTATCACACATGACTTCTGGGAGGATGAGCAAGGCCTGAGATGAGTCTAGACTGCCTTTGCTGTGGTAATGACACAGCAAATGAAATGATGATAGTAAATAGGTTTTGACTAATGAAATGAAGCAAATGAGATTTAGCCTGTAGGCTTGTTATCTGTACTGAGGCTACAAAGGCACTTTGGGCCTGCTTTCTAGTTCTTGGCTTTCAGACAGACAGGGTAGATCAGGTATTATGAGGCTCTAGGATTTCCACTTTTCCCTCTCTCCTTGACTGAGGAATTCATATCAATATCATCCCCTGGCTTTGGAAGGTTTTGTAGATGTGTTTCAGAGAAAAACATAGACAGATCGGAGATGCCTTGATGCTCTTAGCCAGATTGTTCATGGCAGAGTTTTAAAAATTCATCAACACAACATTGATGCAGTGGCAGTTTTCAGGCATAAAACTGTATATGAGCCAAGGTTTCATGGAATGCATAAATAACGAAGATTTCCATATGTCCGGATCACTTTCTAGATGCCAAGGGAATCACACATTTGAAACCAGCAGAGATGCTTGGCTTTTAACTACTTAAAGAATGACAGTCTAATTATTTTCATCCAACCAGGAAGGTCAAGGAATTCTGCAGAACGAGTCTATCCCCAAGACCTCACCACAACCACCTTCCACGTGATCTCACATACGTACTTGGCCTCATTAACATTTAGGACCTTCCCATCTTCAGTGATCAAAGTCCGGGGTGGTTTAACTTTCTCATTTTTGCTTAAGATGGAGGGTGATGAGCAAGAAAAAACAAAAACAAAAAGAACATAAAAGTTAGTAATAACTTTTCATGAAATACTGTAAAATTTTTAGTCAGACATTTTAAATATATTCACAATTCATTTATGGAATCAATCCTCTTAATTCTACGCTGCAAGTTAAAAACCAAGCTAATTTTTTCATGATTATATCTATAACTATCAAGCAAAAAATATGACCAAGACAATTTGCCAGAGAATTTGAATGGGGGAAGTAAATTCCTTTTCATGAAATACCCATGAATATTTAAATGAGTCTATTTTATGCATGATTTGCCCAGATAACTGTCAATTCCCCACTTGTGTGTAGAGCTTTTGCTCTAGTTAAAATTGCAGTTCTTGAAATATCAAATGGAATCCATTCTTTCAAAATAAAAAATACCAGTACATATGGATCCATGTAAAATGATATTTCTCACAGCATTGTTTATAGCAGCAAACCCTCAGAAATGCTGTGAACTGTCTATCAATGGAAGATTGATTGGACCTACTGTGGCATGCTATACTGTAAAGCATCTCACAGCTGTTAAAAATGTGTTTGCTCTTGATATACTGACGGAGAAAAATGCTGATGATGCATTTAGCAAGAACAAATATATAACATATAGTCTACTTTCGTGTGTGGTGCTGAGGATTGAATCTAGGACCCCATACATGCGAGGCAAGTGCTTCACAACTGAGCTACACCTCAGACCACTTCTTCGTTAGCAAACCACATTAGCAGAGGTAATTCACACAATTACAGAGGAAGAAGAAATTATGGTGGCATCAACCCGAGCTTGTTAACTCACTCTGCTGTATGGCAGCATCAGCGAAAACCGAGTATGTGGAATAAAAAGTTAGCAGTAAATTTCTGCTTACTACAAATGTATTTTAAAAACTTGAATAGGCATATGGACAAGTTCTAAAAGATGATATAATTATAGGTAATGATTTACCTTGAATTCTAGTGTCTTCTTAATAGAGATTTTTGGGCTAGTTAACTTTATTTTTGTTTTAATCTCTCAATCTTTTGCATGATAAACTGGGCCTCCTGATCCAATAAAGCTTATTTCAGTGACTCAGTGTGGACAAAAGCTCAGTTAGGATGAAAGGATGGTTCTTGTCCCTGCCTCCTCCAAGCTTAATGGAAAGGACCAGGCCTTCAAACAGACATACATCTCAAAGATTAGGATTGGACAAGAAGCAGTAAACCAAACAGGATGACAGACCTCCTTCCAACTGAGCTATACTTTAGTTGTCAAAGAGAACAAATTCTCCTGGCTTGAGGCTTAGTACAATATAAATTACCCACTTCATAAACATGACCATCACCTATGCAGGTACATGAGTATATGATGGAAATTCTCTAACTCTACAAATATGTAGAGAGCTCGTGAATCTGCAAAGAACCTTCACATTTATTGGCTCATCTGATTTTTTAAAAATATTTATCATTTTAATTTTATATTTATGAGTATATTCCCTGTATGTATGTAAGTACACCTGTGTCATGCAATGCCTGCAGAAGTCAGAAGAGGGCATCAGATCACTTGGAACTGGAGTTATGGATAGTTGTTAGCCACCATGTGGGTGCAGGGAACTGAACCTGGGTCCTTTATAAGAGCAGCCAGTGCTCTTATCCACTGAGTCATCTCTCCAGCCTCTCATTTGATATTCTTAACAGTGGAGAGTGTACGTAGGTGTGATATGTTCTGCTTAACAGATGGGAAATTAGGTACTTGAGCATCACCTGCAGAGTAAGCAATGGGGTCAGGAGATAAATGCTCATTTTCTGATGTTACTGCTGCTCTTCTCAAATCAATGGGTTGACTTCTCCATGACCAAATCACCACATTTTACAAACAAAATCTTAGATAAACTTTGATTCCTAATTATTCTATGAAAGCAGTAGAGATTTCTAGTCTTTCTACTTAGTTTCTTGCTTTTCATTGACAGTTGTAGGGAAATATGCTGTGTTAAATTCATCTCATTGCCATGCAGATGACTGTATTTCAGAGCTAACATCACATTCTCAAGCTCGTAAATTGCAAATATTCCCATCAGTGATATATTTTACACACTAGGTTTCAGCAAAGACATGAGTTGGAATGATAGAAGGCCTATTTCTGTAAAAAACACCCTGGATAAAAGTAGTTTAAGCATCCTTGTTGCTAACAAGTTGTGAAATTATATCTCAGCTCTTCAAAAGTGACATCATATTGTTAAAATGTCCAAGAATACTGTACCATGAAAACAAAATGCTTAATGAAACTAATTTTAATTCTTCATGTCAGAAATTAATGGAACAGACTGAAAGAAACTCATTCATCTGAGAAAATTACCTTTTCCTTTGAGTTATAATTTCATCTTCTAGCCTGGCCTGAACTCTTGCTAGATAGATGTAAAATGGCTAAAAAGTCTAGACATAGAAACAAAATCCTATCTAAGATGCCATAATTCATGAAGTTCTAAAGATGGTATTGTGATGGTCTGAATGGGAAATGTCCCCCATACTCTCAATTATTTGAATACTTGGTACTTTTGGTGGCACAGTTTAGGGAGGTTTAGGAGGTGTGGCCTTTCCGGAGGAAGCATGTCATAGGGGTGGGCTTTGAGAGTTTACAGCCTCACCTCACCCCCATTCACTCTCTCTGCTTTGTATATGCAGTTGAAGATGTGATCCCTCAGTTTCCTGTTCTAGCTGTCACACCACTACCCTCCCCATTATGAACTCTCCCTCTGGAATAAGTAAGCTTTAAAAATAGGCTTTCTTCCTTAAGTTGCTTCTGGTCATAGTATTTTATCACAGCAACAGAAAAGTAACTAATACAGGTATTTTGGTATCAATGAATGTTAACCAATAAAACTCAGTGGAAAGCTGTATTTAACCCAACCTGAGGAGCTATTAGAAACCAATGGCGGCTAGGAAGGGGAGAGTCAGTCTTTTTTAAGGGTGTGACTCTTTTTAGGTTAATCAAGGTCCAGTGGACAGATCCATACCAAAAGATATTTGGTGACAAAAATGTGACTTTATAGACCTTAAAATATATAGAGCATACAAAATTGTGTAGAGGGCAGTAAGGGGGAATGCACAAAAATTCAATGAAAAATATACAATGAAACAAAAGAAAAAGGTGGAATGAGGATTTTGAACTTGTTGCTCTAATAAATATTGCTTTAAATATATGAAATTTGCAAAAAATCAATTTAAAAAAGGAAAAAAATAGGGTAACTTTCAGACTTTATCCAAGAAATTGCTGTGGGCAGTGAATGGTGGTTAACAGAGAAACTCACAACTGGTCAAAATGCAGAGAATAAGTGTTATTGTAGTGATTAGCCACAAATGGAACAGCCATATCACACACTATCTCTAAAGCTCAGGGACCATTGTGGAAGAGAAGCCAGAAAAATTCTAAGAGCCAGAGGTCAGGGAGGACCAGAGTAAAACAGTATCTTCTGGATATCATAGGACCACTGCATCTATGAACACACAGAAGCTGTGGTCACCCACACAAGATCAAGCCAGTTAACACTCTTACATGGTGTGGGAAGCAGTTGAGGAGCACTCACCGCTACCTGAGGAGATATGGACAGTTGGTGGCTTATGGGGAGGGAGAATCATTTTTCTTTAAGGATATAGACTCTAGTAAGTTGGCTATGCTCCAGTGGTTGGCCTCATATCCGGGAGTATATGGGCAGCACAAAATAGAGTCAGTGAGTTATTAAAGAAAAAAAAAGGAAAAAAAAAAGACACGATGTTGGGGGATACAGAGGGGGTAACTCTGGGAGGAACTAGGGGAGGAGTGAGGGATGAACATAATCACAATGTATTATATGATAGTCCCTCAAAGTTAATAAACATATTAAAAATGAGAATAAAAAGAAGAGGCAAACTGTGGGCTAGGGAGATGGCTTGCAGTTAAGAGCACTGGCTGCTCTTGCAGAGGACAGACGTTTGGTTCCCAGCACTCACATGATAGCTCACAACCATCTGTAACTCCAATTCCAGGGGATCTGACACCCTCTTCTGCCCTCCAAGGGCACTGTATGATACGGGTGCACTTACATGCAGGCAAAACACTCAGACACATAAAATAAAAATAAATTCAAAAGTAGAAAAAGCAAACTTCATGTGTGATGGATAAAAAACGTTTAACAGATTAATGGATGAAATAATATGCAATAATGAAAACAACCCACAGAGTGTTGCCTCATTCAATGCTAGGAAAAACAATGGAATACCTTAATTTTTCTTGGGCTTGACGTTGTTTTTCCATGTGTCTAAGAGTTTCCAGTCTAGACTCAGGAGTAAAGGAAGAGGGCTTATTCCAGAATGCCATGTCATCTTCATTCTCATCTAATGTCCCCATGACGTGTTCCTCTTCCTGTGATTTCAGTACCTGCAGGTGGTCTTTGTTCTCTGTGGAAACTGGGCTGGACAAAACAGACAGACCCAGAGTATGTTAGCCCAAGAACGGACATAGAGGCCTCATCCTCAAGGCCTCCTCTTAAATACTTCATGTATTTTGTGAACTTCATACCTCTGAATAACAAATGTCTCTGAGAGTTCATTCATATGAGCTAAGTTGGAAGAAATTACTGCATTATCACTGAGGCAGGCACTCATCTTCCATCATTAAAATGTTGTAGCAGCCAACTGAGTGTTCTCATGAGTTACTTGGGAGCTTTATAAAAAGTTCAGATTTCTGGACTCTCATTAGAAAGACAATTCAGTAAATATGAACTAGGTCCAAAAGTTCTTATGGTATTGCTGGAGGTTCTGATGATCAGTCAAGCAAGGAGACCACTGAACCTTAGCAGCTACTCCACATCCAGCCCTGATCCTTCAATTCCTCTCTCCACACCACTCCTAGTTCCGGCTGGAATAGGCAATTTTATCATTTTGCTTCCAGGTTCTTCAATAATTCTACCTCTACATGCTCTTCAGAGATACACGGGGCTTTTTATGGTATGGCCTCCACTTCATTTTCCATGGTTAACTTCTGATTATGCAGTTTTATGTGGTAACAGTTCTCTGTCCTCTCTTTTATCCTCTTTTGTGTATTGTCACTGAATTAAATGATCTCTCTACATAATTGAATGAGCATTTTATGAGCTATTCAGCATTTGTTCAACATTAATTCAAGAAATTTATTGAGCCAGGCACCAGACACAGAATCCTGAGCAAGACAGACCATGATACCACTTTCAGGATGATTCTGCTCTAGTGGAAAGAAAATCATGCCATTAAACAAAAAACACTGGGTGTGGCCTCTTTCCCCTCAGTCCTCCCTAGAATACATACTTTATTAGAAAAATGATATTAAATAAAAAATTTATCTGAAGCCTTTATTACTGAGCATAGTAAACAGTAATTACTCAGTACACATTAGGTGTTGTGGTGTTTACTAAAACATGGTAATATAAAAGTTTTGTTAGTTGATCTTCAAGAAAAAAAGTTTTTTGGACTGGAGAGATGACTCAGCGGTTAAGAGTACTGGCTGCTTTTACAGAGGGCCTGGGGTTCGGTTCCCAGCACCCACATAGTGGCTAACAATCTTCTGTAACTCCAGTTCCAGGGGATCTGATGCCTCCTTCTGACCTCCATGGGCATTGCATGACACAAGTGTACTTATACCACATGCAAGCAATACACTCATACACATAAAAAATATTTTTTAAAAATATGAGAGATTTTTTCATAGAGTTGTAACAAAAACACTAAAACTATGAACAGAACACTTAAAATGCAACTGTATATTTTAATGAACAAATGATGCAATTTCTTTCCTGAAATTCAGAAAATACTATGCCATGTAACTGTACTTCTTTATGGAACTGAAAAAGGGATCTGTAATAGTCCAGGAAGTTCTGGCTGTCAACTGAAATAACTCACTCCATTCTTGTGTAACTTTTTTCTATAAAGCTACTACCTGGTTTACTTTTACCTTTTATAATCTAAACTAAATCGTAGTAAAA